GTGTGTGTGTGTGTGTGTGTTTGGTGAAATTTGGGGGCAATTTTGAGACAAAATGCCTACATTTGGGGACAACTGGTGCATTTGGGGACCTAAGTCGAGTCCCTGTTTGGTTTAAATGCCATTGGTGGGTTGGGGGTTGGGTTTAGGACCAAGGTGTGAATTGAGTTTAGGTTATTTTTAGGGTCAGGTAAGTTTCTGTGAGGTTAATTTTAGAGTATATGGTCAGGGTTAGGCTATAAAGTCTAAAAAACATGAATGGAAGTCAATGGAAGGTCCCCATGGGGTCGAGAAACAAGCGTGTGTGTGTATGTGTGTGTGTGAGACTGGGTTTGTTTTTTGTGACATTTGGGGGCAATTTTAAGACAAAACGCCTACATTTGGGGACAACTGGTGCATTCGGGGACCTAAGTCGAGTCCCTGTTTGGTTTAAATGCCATTGGTGGGTTGGGGGTTGGGTTTAGGACCAAGGTGTGAATTGAGTTTAGGTTAATTTTAGGGTCAGGTAGGTACCTGTGAGGTTAGCCTTAGGGTTTGTGTTCAGGGTTAGGCTGTAGAAATGTAATGTAAGTCAATGGAATGTCCCCAAATGTATAGCTGGGCAAACCTGTGTGTGTGGCTGTGTGCGTGTTTGTTGGCAAAATAGCTCTGGAACCAGTGGACGGATTGCAATGAAACGCAGTAGCCTCATTAATGACAGCTCAGTATGGGACTGGCGTGTGTTCTGTCCTCCTCTGATCATTCGTAAAAAACACGAAGGTGGAAAGGGGGTGGGGGGTGGGGGGGTAAAGTGAACCCGCCTCTGATGCCCCTCTGAGCCCCCAACTGAGGTAGCATCAGAGCCGAGCCTGAGTCAGGTAGACCAACTTGTGAAAAGGCAGCTCGCGGTTCCACTGCTTAGAAAATGATAATAAGCTGATGACATCAGTGAGCGACTGCAGGATTAATCAACAAACATATTTATTACAGAGGGAATAGGCTATATTAAAGACGACACCAAACAGCAACTTTGATATTTAACATGTCAGAGCTTCTAGGACATTTAAAAAAAAACAACAAATAGCATCAAATAACCATCTTCCAACACTCTCTGCTGCTACTTCCTTCCTCACTTCCTCCTGCTTCTGCTGCAGGCGCTCATTGGCCGACAGTCCACCTGCACCCTCCCGCACATGTGATTAATACAGGTTTTTTTGCAAAAATTGCAGATTTTTTGATGCTCGTTATACAGGTAAACATCCAAATGGGTTGACATGTATGTTTGTAGTTAGTTTAAAAAATATATTGAACCACAGGATCCCTAAAATGAGTTAATTCAGGTTGTTTTGTTTGATACGACACGGACGTCCATCACACAATAAATATGTCGCAGTCCACTTCAGCCGAGCTGAGATCGTCTCTACGCTTCTTTTGGTTCGGTGCTGCTGGGTTCATTTCTGAATGCCTACATGTGAGCGGGACCTGGTCGACTTCTCCTGTGATTTATGAATAAACCGAGGGAGCTTAAATTCTGGACCGGTCTGTGCGGCGATTGTGCGGAATTGTCTTGTGAATCAGGTTATATTTTCACTAGTCCTTTTTGCTGGATTTTGTTTTGCCGGATACTTCAGTATTTTCACCCCCCCCCCCCGCCCCCCCAAAAAAAAGACACGCACGTGACTCTGCGTATGTTGGCAACAGTGATGTGGATGTGAAAGAGCGACTGAAGAAATAGCTCTTGACATGATCTGGCGTTATTTAAATTAAAATGACTACATGCCTTGAAACTCTTTGGTGGGGGGGGGTCTTGTTGGCAGGGGTGGGTCCCCCTTGAATAATGGTAGGGGACACATGGAAATGCTCTGAAAATAATTATTAGATGTTCATTTACAACTGATTAACTTTTAGTCATCTCCATTCAACATGGCAGCCAACAAAACAGGCTTTAGTCTAGGAGGGTACAAAAATAAGGATACACTGAAATATTGCAATAATTCATTTCCTGATTCTGTATCAGTTTTCAAAAGCACTGTATAAATATTTCATTAAGACCTAATGAATGGATGTAAGAAGAAATGTGAAATACAAATGCAGTTCTCACTGTTGTTTAGTTTCTTCTGATTGGATGAAAATAAACTGAATTTAATCATACTGTATGCATGTAATGCATGGTGTTCTCTTTATGCTGAGATTTTTAAAATTATACTATTTTAGAGGTAAAAAATGACAATATATCACCTTGCTTGCAGTATCACAATATATTGTGATACATCGTATTGTGACCTGTGTCGTGAGACAGTATGTATCATATCACCAAATTCTTGCCAGTACATAGCCCTAATATATCATCACTACTTTTACAGACACTGAGCAAA